GTCACTACCCGGATGGAAGGATGGACACTTAGCATATTAGCCTTTTATATATAGATTTTACAATGCTATCAATGCAGGAAGTGTTGCTATTTGGCAGGGCGAACATCTGTTTGCCTGACATACACACCTGGGTGGAATGGGTTGGCCTGTGCTTTAGTGATGGCTTCGAACTTTCTCAGTGTATCTGTTCCACAGTTCTCACAAGGACTCTCATGTTCTGTTCCTTAGAGAATGTGGCGTCACTAACTGTGGAGCTGTGTGACACCTGCTCTCAGAGGCACCTTCCCTTGCTTACAGCTAGTGCTCTGGGCCTGTGTGGGTTTAGTCCTCTTTCTTGTGGCTTTCTGAGAATGCTGGGCCTGTCACGTATTTCCCTGATCATGCCTCCATTTATTCTGAGAAGAAAATGACAAGGAATTGAATTAAAGTCTACACTGATCATAGAAAAGTGACATTTAGGTTCCAAAAAATGAAAACTCAGCTCTCCTATTAAGGGACTAAGGAAAAATATCACCATGGTATTTTTTGTTTAGCAAGTGGAAATTTGGGGGACCCATAAGTTTAATGACACTTGAAGGCTTCCTGAAGGAAAAGATATTACTCTAAGTACTACTTGAAGGTGACATTCTCTGTAATGACTGAATAGATTTCCAAACCCTCTTCAAGTGATACTCAAGGAACTAATAAAGCTCCTCATTGAAGTTTACTGTAATAAAATTTGACCTGCGTGATTTTGAGCATTAAGTTGTGTTGTTCTCATTGCAGATGTCGGTCGGGCTTCATTTAAGTATTTTCAGTCAGCAGAGGAAGCAAGGCATGCCATCGAGGCTGTGTTGTCAGCCGACCCCCGGTCTGCGTATCGACGGAAGCTCTGCCAGGACCGCCTTTTCTACTTTACTGTAGACACAGCACACGTCACTTGCTGGTTTGGTGATGGCTTTGCAGAGGTCCTGAGGATCAAGCCGGCTTCTGAGCCTGTTCAGATGACTGACCCTGTGGAGTCCTTGGTGTCTCTGGGATCGTAAGTAGCTGCCATCACATCATTAAGACAGCCTACTTGGCTTTGGTTGTGACTAGCCGATTTTTCGTACAGGCTAATGATGTGACTTCTTTTCAGAAAGAAGCAGTACTTTGTGGTCTCACTGCTTTGTTTGATTTGAGTTGTTCATAATATTTATTTAAAAAACATGTCTTTTAATAAATTGAGAGAGAAAATTTAAAGAAATTGCTATATGCTTCTTGAGTGGTTAATATCAAAGAATGCAAAATGATGCCGTCTCAGTGATTTCTGAAAGAAGCTGGTTGTTCTTGGCACTTGATGAAATTGGGCAGAGATCATTTTAGCAGGGACTTGCAAGCTGAGGGGTCCTGTTCAACAATTCATATTGGTTTTCCTGTTTAGAAAAGCCTGACCTCTCTGTTTTATTCTAATCAAGCTGAGCCACTATATCCTGGGAAACTAACAAATAAAACACAAGTGGTTATAAAGATCTTAGAGATTAAACCCCTGTGCTTCAGACAAGCACACGCGTGCACATGTGAATATATATTTAATCCTAATTCCAAAATAGAGACTTAGATTTCTTTGTATAGGAAAAACAAGTCAACCTGGCCAGTGTGGCTCAATGATTGAGCATTGACCTATGAATCAGGAGGTCACGGTTCGATTCCTGGTTGGGGCACATGCCTGGGTTATGGGCCTGATCCCCAGTGTGGGGCATGCAGGAGGCAGCCAATCAATGTTTCTCTCTCATCATTGATGTTTCTATCTCTCTCTCTCACTTCATTCCTCTCTGAAATCAATAAAAATAAAAAAAGAAGAAGAAAAGTCACCCTCAAAAGTCTAAGAAAATAACTTAATTACTGGCTTATTTCTTATTTATTCTGTGGTGATAAAATGAGATGAATATGATCCAGTTCTTGTTGCAAATCATAGTTAGTGGAGGAAAAAGACATAAGGACATTATTGTATTCTGTTAGATAAATATATAGTAATTAAGTCTGTATGTACCTGGTTCCTGTGTAGTATCATGTAGGAAGCAGTTGTAATAATATATTACCTATAGGTGAGTTTATTGATGTGATCTCAGATAAGATTTATAATCATTGTAACCAAATTAGATACCTGTAAACATGACATAGGCTTTCCTAATCACAATTGTAAATCTTAATGGCTGATTGATCATGGTTTTGAAATGAGCCCTGCTGCTTGCACATACTTGCACAGAGTCATTTGTGGCTGATGACACTGTACTTGTGAATCAAACTATGAGGTGACTTAGAACCTCTTGGGGAAGTATCTTTAATTTTATTTTTAAAAGCTTTTTATTTTGAGTTATAATAGATTTACAAGAAGTTGCAAAAATAGTGCAGATGTTCCGAGTACCCTTCACCTAGCTTCTAGTTGTGATAACATCTTACATAACTATAGTATAATGTTAAAACTTGGATGTTGGCATTGGTATAATCCATCATAAATTTTGACTTTGATGTTTTTCTCTTAAAATTATTTTGAGACTGAATAAGGGCTTGAAGCACAAAATGTAGATACTTAATATGGAAAAAATAAGTCTGAGGATGATACCAATTAGCCTTCTAGCAAGAGGACTGTTCAGTTGTTAGGGGTTTTAATATACATTCTCAAACTTTTAGAACTAAGTCCTAAATGTAATCCAGCTTAATTCTCAGCCAGCTCATCAGTCTCCAATATTCCTAGTGTTTGACCTTCTAGCCCCTGCTTAAAATCCTCCAGGATGATCCTTCACCCTGATCCTCATTATGTATGGACAGTGCTCATTATTAAAATTTCCTTCTTCTTTATGACATAAAATCTGTTCTCCAGTAACTCCACCCTTTACTGGGACAATTTCACTCCCATTAGCCTGTCAGATACCATCCAGCTTCCCACCCTTCAGTCCCCTCATATGTCAGCACCCCTATTTTCTTCAGGTGTTTCTCATATAACATGTTCAGAAGCCGCTCTCCACCCCAACCCTTGAGTCCTGTTGTAAAGAATTTTGGATCTCTAGGTCTTGAACTTCCATCCCTCAGAAAGAGAAGTAGTTTTATTTTTAAATCCACACCCGAGGATATTTTTTCCATTGACTTTTAGAGAGATTGGAAGGGAGAGGGAGAGACAGAGAGAAACACTGATGTGAGAGAGACACATCGATTGTTTGCCTTCTGCATGACCTGACTAGGGCCGGGAGCCTGCAACCCAGGTACTTGCCCTTGACCAGAATCGAACCCAGGACTCTTCAATCTGCAGGCCGAAACTCTATCCACTGAGTCAAACCAGCTAGGGCTGAAAGAGAAGCAATTCTTATATTTATTTTCATCTTGGAAACTTTTTCAAAAGAAGAAGAAAGGGACAAAATTTTCTGTACTATGCATAAATAACATCTACCTTTAATGTAGTCTTTCCTCCATGTTGCCTGTAGGTGGAGCCCTTGATAGCTGATTATTTTCAGTAGCTTGGAGATAAACTCCAGGAGTTCAAGCTGTTCAGGTGATTTAGGTTTTCTGCCCTCCTGTCCCAGCTTTCCAGAACAGTAATTTCCACAAGAGATGTTGATCAATCACATATAGGAAGAGATTAGAAGGACGAGTGCCATTTATTAGATTTGTATATTGGAGCTTGGTTTAGGGTTGGGATGCATTATTCCAGCATGGAGAGCAAGCATGTCAAACTCAGGCTAACACAGGCCAAATAAACAAGGCTTAAGTCTATGTGAGCCACAAAAAAACCAAAAGCTTCAGTTTTCATAGAAACATAAGTTTATTTCAATAGAGAGATGCTGAATACAAAGGGCTGAAATAATGAGTAATCATTAACATAAAATAATAGAACATTTTAATAAAAATTAATATTTTTTTCTTGAACATTAACTTACCAGACACTGAATAACTGCACAAATTAATTAGCATAAAGCAAATAAGCCTATTTTTATTGTTCTCCGAAAATGAAATATTTCCTGTTGCACACACCAAACAAGTCAATCCAAGACTAATGACATGGCAATCGGATGCTAAAATATTCACTGCGAGTATTAGGGGAGAGAAATGGTGCTCCTGTGTGTTAGGCGCATAAGGGAAATGAATGCAACACAATTATTTGACCAGGGCCAGCAGCCGCTGCTCACACCTGCTGACGGCACCGAGCTATCGGGACCAGCGCCAGGCACCGGGTGTGGGTGCAAGTGGGGCCAGTGCCGGCAGTGGGTGCGAGTGCCAGGCAGGACCATGGTGCACGGGAGCAAAGAATTGTCATAAAGCACTAGAGGCTCGCCCCAATGACAGTGACTGGCACCCCGCCTTTGTCCGGTGCTCCCGCTCACCTGCTCCACCATCCCAAC